GATCTTGATTTTTTTTAAATTGGTAAGATAGAGGTCCCACCGTAGACACTTTCATATAACTGCTTAAGCTTAGACTTAGTGTTCTTAGGCTTTAGGCTCAGGCCTAGGTTTGCGTTTGGGATCAGGTTTAAGCTTAAGTAGACTTACGCTCAGCTACTGAATAGCGCTTAACTAAAGGAAGCAGGTCTAATTAGAGCCTTGCTATTCTCAACTGAGCGGAAGCATAAACCAGCTGCTTCAAATACTTTTCAAGTAGTTCGTGTCCACTTGCCCTTCTTAACAAAAACTTAAGAAGTTAGTCGACTTAAAGAGTATAAAATTAGTCGATAATGTTGAATGTAACAGTTGGGATGAAGGTACTATCGCAATTTGTGCTTGTCTGTGTGGCAAGTATGACTTTAAGGTAAATTCTAAGGTTATGGTTGTTTTATTATATAAATTTTCGCTTATAATATTTATTCCTGACGGATTAATTGCTTTCGTCAGATATGTAAGACTTCCTTACAGCCTATTTTGTTTAGATCGTCCACAGAATACATCTACACATTCGTTCCCGGTAAGAAATCAACTTTGGCAATCAATTCTACTGTTCAATGTTTGAAATCATTTAATTATTAACATATTTTAGAATATGTGGCTGCACAATCCCTTCCGGAATGGCAAATTCCCCAGAATAATCTCCCATTTCATAGCTATATTACTGCTCCCTCTCCTTCCTCATATGGGGACGCAACCCCACCAGCACAGTTCGTGAGGGCACCACTGGCGTACCTACCGCCTGGTTTTCAGTATTCTGTGGTACGCTACACATAAATTTTCTTTGGTTTTTTCTAGTTAACCAATCATTCAAATAATGAATGCGTCCAATTATGTAAGATCAAATTTTGAATTAAAAAAAATTTTTTTTTAGGCTAACAGCATATGTAAGATCCTAAGACTAATACAGGATTGACTTGAAAATAAAGGCAGTCAAAGCGTTTTTAAAATTCTTCTGAAGCCGCAAAACTCATATAGATGGGCTGGGCTGGAAAACCGATCTATTAGGTTGAGAAATAAGTTCGTAGCGTTTTTATATTTTCTTATATTTTCAACAATGTTTTGCTGTTTAGGAGAAAGTATAGTAATTTTTCGTTAGAGCATTCTCTGCTCTACAAAACAGTGGTAATCTTCCTTTTGAGTA